GGACCCTACTAGGTTCGACGTAAAAAAAGGACGCGAAATTGAATAAGAGAGTGCGAGGCACACCGCGCGCATTCACTCTTCATCACTTTTCATTTTTTTTCTCTGTAAACCCTCTCCCTCTCCTTTGTTACTGAATCATTTTTTTGTCTTCTGCAGAGTGGGGTGAACTCTTTATTACTCATTCGCAAACTGTTGCAGTTCATCAGGTATGAATCAGGGTTTCGTTAACACCTTTTTGCTTCGCATTGCTATTGTGGCTATCTGTTCTATTCGATTTTTTGGTTGTTCTATTTGTATGGGTTGTTGGCCTTTTCTTTTGAGTTGTTTTATGAAGCAGAACGGCCCGTTCTGCTTGTAGAACGGGCCGTTCTGCTTGCACTCGTTATGTTTTGTTTTTTTACTACCTTTTTACGTCGGACCTTGGTAATGTCCGACGTAAATTTATGTCGGTTTTACAAAGTCGACATAGATTTACGTCTCCTACATTAACGTCGGTATTTTTTCCGACGTAAAAAGCTCAAAATAACCGACGTGGAATACTTCTTTTGTACTAATGTTCCTCCAAATTATCTCTTCCTAAAGTCCTAAAACCTCTTGATTTGGTTCCAATTCTCTTATCCTCTTCCTAAAGAGTGTGGTGAGGATTGAAGTGGTTCATCTTCTTCCAAGGAGTGACATCACTTGAAGAGTGTTCTTCACCTCCTAAGATGAAACTATAAGCTTTTACCTCACTAGTGGAAAAAACACTTTTAAAATCGGTCATTTTTTACTTTTAAAATCAGTTCTCTGACCAATTTTAAAAGAGCCGATTTTGAAAAGTGGGACTTTTAACATCGGTCGGTGACCGATTTTAAAAGTCCCAATTATTGAAGTAAAGTGTAATCTTAAATTAATTTTAGCAAAATGATGTTTCTTTATCCAGTTTATAATGTATATGATTTGAGATAGAATATTAATTAAGGAAAGAGAAAAAAATCAAAAATAATAAATATAATAAGTAATGTAGTGAAAAGATAAGAGAAAAAAATTAATAAATATTTAAGAATGAGATAAAAAAAATATATATACATGTGATGCATAATTGTATATTGAGAATTTAATAAAATTTGTGTTAACTGCGCAAATGGAAAAACCAAAACACATCTCACAAAATATTTATTAGACAGTTTTTTATACGAAATATATATATA